GTGTGTGTGTGTGTGTTTATTGATCTGGCAGGCTTAAGTCATGACCAGGAAATGATCCAATCACCCAGAGTGGCCTTCCTTTGAGTGCTGCTGGGTTGAGGAGATTGAGATAATGAATGCTGTGTATTTGTCAACCTTTGCGCTCATGCACGATTACAGAGAAGCTGTGCATGTCTTCATATACTCATTAATATGTGTGTACATGCAAGCTTGTGTATATTTTTGTGTGCACTCGCCTTTGTACTCCCTAATCCTTTCTTCCCACCTCCCACTTTCTGTCAGGGTTATCTTTAAATAATTCTTAGATTTGTGTACTTTTACACGCAGAATTAGTTGTTTCAAACTTACTTTGAAAGTACTGGGATGTATTTTGAGGCGTCGGAATTCAGGGATTGTGTTTGTCTTTGAATTTGTATTTCAGATATGCTTTTTGAACTTCTTCGTTCCCTTTTTTCTTTGAACTTGTTTGTATTCTGCTCCACCCTGGTGTATTTAGTTAAGCCAGTTCTCACAGTCATATTTGTTCCTGGTTTCCTCTTGTGTCCAGTTTAGCTCTGTTCTGTTTGCCTTGGCTACGTTTTGCTCATGTTAATTCTCCCTACTGTTTCCTCATACTTGCAGTACTGCATTGTATTTTGTCTGATGTTTGCTCTTTGGGTCCTAGCTTATGGAAATGCACCTGTGCCATTGTGCCAATACTGTGAACCTTTCAGGACTTCTGGTTCCACAGCTCTCTCTCCTTTTCAAACAACTTGACCTCATCTTCATCTTATTCAGTGTTAAAGACACACAATTGTTTTTGATTATTGTTCTGCTGTTACTTGTAGGTTAATGGAGAACTCCAGTACTTGCCTATCAGCCTGTTGGGAGGCCTGGTAAAAGTAAAGCGGAGAGGAATCTATGCAGTTGTCAGCACTGACTTTGGCCTGATTGTAAAATACGATTGGAACATGAGGCTGTACATCAAAGTGCCATCCTCCTACTACAAACACATGGGTGGCCTCTGTGGAAACTACAATGGAGACAAGAAGGATGACCTGCCTGGAGGTGAGGAGGGGGCATACAATAATAGTAGCAGGAGAGATGGTTGGGTGAAACATGGGGAAATTATAGATTATTTGATTCAAATTATTTTGTCAATTTCACCTCAGATTTGTAATCACTATAGCATCAACGTTCCACTGTAACAAGGCCACAACACATACTGTTCCAAGTTTGTTAAGATGACATAAGTTATTATTTTGTGCTGGTAGTTGAGGGGCCCAGTCTTACACTGTAATATTACCAATGATTGTTGTGATTTGCTAACCACCTAGTGAACTGCTCACACACCCAGATGTGACTAAATCGTAATCATAAGTTGCTTTCTGTCTCTGTCAGGCTCCGGTTCCAATGCTGTGTTGAAGATGATCAAGCAGTGGAAGGTGAAAGATTCTGATAGATTCTGTCATGATAACTGTGCTGGTCGCTGTCCACAGTGTTCATCAAAGGAGCAGGCCCACTACAGCCAACCTAAATTATGTGGGATTCTGACAAAGACAGATGGACCATTTTCAGCCTGTCACAAAGATGTTGAACCAACATTGTTTCTGGACAATTGTGTCTATGATGTCTGTGTCAACAAAGGTAAGCCAATGGTTGAAGACTTTGGGGCATTGTTTCCCTACATGGACTTTACTTCATAATTTTGCACTGCAATAGGCAACTGTGTTATGTAGGCTTATTGAAAGATACATTTGTATTTTGATTTCTGTGCATTTAAAGGATTTTAACTTCTGGATGTTAGGTGTGACTCAGAATTCTTGTTTTTATTCCATCTGGTTGTAAGTCTGGTCTTGTCAGCCCTGGTTTCTGCAATAAAAACTGCAACAAATTCTCAGGGTTTCGGGATCTACAGAGTAAGATTGCCTGTATATCATGATATGGTATTTTTTTGTGTGCAGGTGCAAAACAGGTTTTCTGTGATAACTTGAAGAGTTATGGAGATACCTGTCTGTCAGAAGGAGTCAAAGTCAGCCCACAGTGGAGAATGGTTGCCAATTGTCGTAAGTAACGAAGCAAAAATACTGTTACATCTGCAAGTCCTGTATATAAAAACCCACAATGGACGCCATGTGTGTTCTGGCAGCAGGCCTGGAGCTAATCAGGACAGGGGAGTATTCCCAGTGGGCTGTACTGGGTCACTTATACAGCATCGCTCAACACAATAACTTTATTAAAAGAGGATCACACATCAGCTTTTGGCAGTAGGCTAACTTAACCATGATTAACTCAGCTTGGACGCATGTGCAGTGTGAACCCTCAACTCTGAAGCATGATTGTTTGACGTCATGAATGATTGAGATTACACCCATAGACCATACACCCACTCAAAGGAAACATTAAAAGGACAAAACATGGAGTAAAAAAAGAAGAAGGAAAGCTTATACCTGTGCCAGAGACAGGTTCGCTGCTACAGGCGATGAAGAAGTGGCAGAAATAGAACCGCCAGTCAAGACCCTTTAAATCCAACACATTAGGCAGGGCCAAAACACCATACAGTATGTATCTATTGCATAAAGCTAATTCAATAGGCTGGTGGTGGAGAAAATGCGCAAATCATACATTCTATCTAGTTTAAATCAAATTTACACTGTATACAGTGAATGAAAATAAGTCTGTGGTGTAATTATTGTGTTCAGATCAATATAAATGAACTAAACTGATTCATATATGTATGATGTATGTTTCTGAATTAGATTTACAGTATTGGTTCTCACAGATAGAGCACTGAGCTGAAAACTTGATTTCCACCCTCCCCTCCCCAGCCCTTTTGTGTCCAAAAGGTAGCCACTATGAGGCATGTGGCTCAGCCTGCCCGGCCTCCTGTGTGTCCCCGAACAGTGAGAAGCAATGCAAAGCCGCCTGTGTGGAGGGGTGCCAGTGCAATGGAGGACTGGTGCTTAGTGGAAACAGGTAACATACCAATAATGCTACAAATACTATTGAAAATACAAAGCTAGTTCTTGGAGATGCTTTATAATAGTGTTGCAAAGACAGCCATTAAAAATGTAATACATATATTTCTTATACTAATAAGTCATTGGTTTGTAGAATTTCATGTCTGGTTTTGGTGTCACATTGTAATTGACCTTAAACTCTGTCATAGAGAAGTAACATGAAGTGAAAGTACTTGAAAAGTAGGTAAAAAACAAAACAAAAGAGCAAAGCATTACATTTGAAAAAACAAGCAGTAGTACAATCAATTATCTGCACATCGCCCCTGTCCATTACAATAGTCCTCATTATCTCCAAAACCATAACCAGAAGTATAATCATAGCAACAGTTTTACCAGTATAAATGCCCAATAATCAGACTTATAGCAACACCCTGTCAACAGCCACTCATGACTGCAGTGAGTGATCTACAGTGGTCACGTCATGAACATATAACAACCACTACACCATCATGCTATGGTCACGGGTAGCAGCTGTACGCACTGTTAGAGCTCATTAATCCGTGTGTGTATGTGTGTGTTTCAGATGTGTTCCCAAGTCCAGCTGTGGATGTCAGTATCAGGGCAAATATTACCCATCAGGCACCACTTTTTGGGGTGACAACACTTGCACCACCAGGTGTAAATGCCGTAATGGGAAAGCCAAGGTTGGTTTGTGTGACTGCGTGTGCAATATCTCATCATACTGTGTGAAATGACCTGCGAGGCATCACCTATTATGTGAATAAATGTTGTGTTGTGGATAAATGTTTTCACTGTGAACTGATATTCTTTCCTGTTGTGTTCTGTCCTTCTGGTGAAGTGTGCTTCATCTACTTGTAAGAAGAATGAGCGCTGTTTCTTGAAGGGGGGTGTGAGGGACTGCTACCCAACATCCTATGCGACATGCCAGGCCTCTGGTGACCCCCACTACCGAACCTTTGACAAACGCCGGTTCGATTTCCAGGGGACTTGTACCTATATTCTGTCCCAACTCACCAAGGGATCAGACCAGGATCTGGTCCCATTTCAGGTGCTGGTCCAAAATGAGAACAGGGGTCGTAAAAAGACTGTGTCCTACACCAAGTCTGTGTCACTTCATGTGTTTGGTAATTTGACCATCAGCATGAGTCGTGCCAGCCCAAGGAAAATACTGGTAAGATCAGCCTGTCTACAGTAAATACTCTATGTATCACTGTGGTTTGTAGATACAATAGACCAGCTCAACCAGTCAGACAGAACAGAGAAAGTCTTCTTCATTAATGCTCCAATAGTGAGTGAGTAGTTTGGGTTGTCACGATCAACCTAAGATTATAATTTATAATTTATAACAATTTTCATGTAAATAGAAGTGGGCTTGATATTGGGCTGAGAGCCACAGACATTGAAGGAAGAACTGTGGGACAGACTAACACGATAGCTTCAGATTTTTCACTGGATTTTTATCTGACAATAACTGGAAATACGGAATGCTCACCTTCTGAATGTAACTTACTGTCAATGTCAATGTGGAATGACTAATGTGTTCCTGCAGTGACAAAGCACCAAAGCACCAAATCGCAGATGGTTGTAGTGTTATTACATTGAAACCCCCTTCCACCCCACCCAGGTAAACAGTAGGTCGGTGAATCTGCCTTATTCAATGGAGGATGGCAAGCTTTCCATGTTCCGACGTGGCTACTTTGGCATCGTGACAACACATTTTGGTTTGACGCTCAGGTTCAACTGGAACAGCCACGTCAGCTTGAATTTGCCCAGTTCATACTCCACTGCAACATCTGGTAAGTCAGGTGTAATGCATGTAATGCAACCACAGTAATGCATGTGACTGGTTTTAAAAGGCAAACACATGCAAAGCAATCCCTTCATACCTAATCATATCAAACAAAACAAAAGTGTTTTGGCCCATGTCCCGTACATCCTACATCTGGCCCATGTACATGAACATTTACACATTTCATCCATCAGTGCAGTTTAGGCAAGCATGTGTTAATAAGTGGGAATCAAATGCAAAGTATTGAGATCACCTCACTCTTTGCTTTAAAACTACAAAGCAATAAAGTTCTGAAAGTGAAGCCACTTAAAAATAATTAGGTGCGCCACAAACTCACCACCTGTCCTGATTCAAATTCTTTTCATTTCAAGAAGAATGCAACTGAATCGTTAAATCTCTGTGTCACTGCTGTGCTTGTTGCCTGTTTCTTTTTGTCAGGCTTGTGTGGAAATTATAATGGGAAACGTGATGATGACTTACTGAAACCTGATGGCACCCAGGCGGAAAACATTCATGTCTTTGGAGACAGCTGGAAGGTGTGTATTAGTTGAGACTGGAGGACTCTGGAGAATCTTGGACAAACCTGAAATCAACCAGAAAAAAGAAAAGCATAAAAACCCCACTTAGTCACATTGCAAATTTTAGAAACACATTTTGCATCTAGCATGAAAAATGCTTACACGTTCCATTTTCCTTTTGGGCATGTTCCACACAACATCATTATATTACATTGTTATTGATTTGCAAGCTAGATAGTCTATGCATATTTTAACAGTTTTACATATAAATGTCATTGTACAAAGACAGGAGAAGACCCTGGATGCACTAATGACTGTCCCGGTGGTAAATGTCCTGAGTGCAAGCCTGCTCTGCTGTCACGTTACAAACAGAAGCGCTACTGTGGTGTCATAGCTAACAAGAAAGGGCCCTTCAGGTAGGTTCAATAAAGATTTATATCTCTATTTACACTCAGACAGACGTTTGTGTTATTAGTAGGTCTTGATTAGACTATTACTAAACACAACTTTGTTTATCATGAGCATGAGACACAGTTCAAAGAAAACAATTAAATGACATCAGATATATACTGTAAATCATCAGAACTCAAGAGTTGTTAAACATGTCTATTGTATTTCTTTGTTTGATGAACGGGTGTCAACAGACTGTGCCCTCTCTCTCTGCCTATACAGACAGTGTCACAGTAAACTGGACCACACGCCCTATCTCACAGACTGTGTTTTTGATCTGTGTATGTACCAAGGCCATACATCCGCCCTTTGCAACAGCCTAATAGCTTTCAGCACTGCTTGTCAAGATGTGGGAGCTGAAGTGGAGAGTTGGCGAACTGAGCAGTTTTGTCGTAAGAAATCCACACACTGACACTCAAATGACTTTTAACTGGGAGTTACACGGTCTATCCATCCATCCATCTATCCATCCATTCATGATCTATTTATCCTTTTATTCATCCATCCATCTATTCATCATTAATCATGCATCTATCCATCCATCCATCCCTCCATCCATCAAAGAGTAACATTTTAGAGAAAGCAACAACCTGGCATCTCCAGAATGAGAGCAGATTTTGTTGTTGCTAGTGTTACTGTACTGTTCTGTACTGAGTCCAGCTGTTGTTGATAAAGAAATATTCCCTGAACCAAAATGTTAGTTTTTGTATTGTACAAATAAGTCACCTCTGGAAGATTTGATTTTGATTGATTTCCATGTGTCTCTCATCCAGCTCCATTGTGCGGTCAAAACAGTCATTATGAGTTGTGCGCCGCCCCCTGCCAGCTGACCTGCAGTGGTCTTGTGGCCCCTGAGGGCTGTGACGAAAGCACGCCCTGCACCGAAGGCTGTGTGTGTGACGACGGCTTCATGCTGAGTCATGATAAGTGTGTACCTCTGGCAGAGTGTGGCTGTCAGTACGAAGGAGAGTATTATCAAAATAGACAGGTACTGTGGCTAATCTCTGCAACTGCAGCTTATTTTTCTGATCTTAAAATTGCTTCTCTTCTGCCACTTCTCACTTCTACTGCTATTGCTTCTCTACCCTCTCCTCTTTTCTTAGGTGTTTTATCCAGGAGAGTCGTGTAACACTCGTTGTGTCTGTTCAGACAGTGGAGAAGTAGAGTGTAATCCTAAATTCCAGTGTTCAGTCAATGAGAAGTGTGTTGTGAAAGACGGTTCTGCTTCCTGTTATCCCAGTGATATTGGTTCCTGTTCTGTGAGTGGAGTCAGAACAGTCAGGTCATTTGATGGACAGGTAAGACATGTAAGACAAGAGTGAGCATGTTATCCAGGATAATGTGTGACAATGGGATTACAATATTCAGAAAGGAAATGTATATATAAATATAGATATATACTGTATATATTCAAGCTTATTTGTTCAACCTTAATAATGTTCATTCATCATTGAATTGTAGAGACAATTTCATATTTATATTATTTTCTATTTCAGTAGTCACATGTCAGATCAGAGCATCTGAATTAGTTCCTACATGTGTCTTCTAACAACACGGATTGTTTCTCATGTAGAATCATGTAACGTAAGTTGTTGATTGTCATTTTCAGATTTGCTTACCGCCATCACAGTTTGTCAGAAATGTAATAATGACCCTTTTCATCACTACAATGTTATAATTCTTCCAGACCTGATATGGTCTGAAGTCTGTTTTTCAAGAACAACACAGAATAGCAGTACTTTTGTTGTCAACATTTGATGTTTTACAGGAGGGGCTGACCATTAGTACACATTAAAACGTTACATTAAACTTATAAATACTTTTTTTATTACCATCCACTTGACTCCCTCTTAGCTCCTGAAGTGGGCACCTTCACAGAAGCTGAGTTCAACTACATTACATGTTTTATTCAGAGCTGTCATCCTCGTGCCCATAAGCCAGCAAAGTGTCCAAATGATAATTTTGCCTTTGAATGTTAAGACAATGGTCCTGAGTTTCTGCAGACATTTCTCCAGCCAGTCCCCTCATAAAAAAAAAGTCAGCGGAATGTCCTAAGGAGCCGATGTGAGAACACAGCAGGCAATCTTCTGCATGTTTTGAACACACAAAAGACACAAATATGATAAAAAGAATACAAATCTCTCAGGATGAAAAAGCTGTTCCACACATCAATGTCGATGTGAAGCGCTTTTGGCGATAAGTGCTGACGCGGCTGTCAATGTGCTGTTAACAAAAACACGTGAGCTCCGTAGCAGAATCCTTGCGTTACACCCGACCTCTATCTGCTACACCATCCCTCACCTAAACACCCGGGAGATTTCTGTGTTGTTGTGAACGTGCAGAATTCAAGTTATATCATGTTCATAAATAAAGACATTGACCCTTCTTAATTAGGTTTTAAGACAAGCAGTGAAAGTTCAGGCATACTGCTACACATCTTCTAATCTCTCCACGTCTCTACCCCCTCCCATCCTTTAGGCATATCCTCTGTGGGGAAACTGTCTGTTCAAGTTATCAGAGGTGGAGGAGACGCAAGAAGGGAAGACAGCCTTCTCTGTGTTGGTACAGCAGCAAACCAATAAGGATGGCAGTGTCAGTCGTAGTGTGGAGTTCCGAGTTTACGATATTAAAATCACAATGGAGACTGGGGTTACATGGGCAGTCCAGGTATGTCTGACACTTTTTTATGACTTGACAGATGTTTGTTGTATTAAAACTAAGCAGTGATAACATTGACTCCCAGACAGCAAAATTGTTTTAGCCCAGCTTGGCCTACCTCCCAGATTTCACACATCCTACATTTGGCCCACATGCTGCATTATATGATGGCATTTGGGTGGTTTGCTCCTGTTTGCCAGATCCAAGGCACAAGTAAGCCATAGCAATAGTGCATGAGAACCAAAGGTTCCACTGATGGCCAAATTTACTTTGTGCTATTTGGGCCATATTCAAAATTTACCACAAGGGCCACTGTAGGTTCACATCCAGATTACACCTTTTCAAAAGCATCACATTTTGTCAAAAAAGGCTCACATTTGTTAAGGGATAATTGGACCATAATTTCCCTTTTACAAGTGGAAAACTTTAGGTTCACATCCATTTTGTCCTGGCAACAAGAGGTTCAAAAGTACAGCATCATTGCATGAAGTGGCCTACATCTGTACGCTGAAAGCCTTCAGGCCAAACACCAACAATCCACCAAGACGCTGCATATGTCTATTTTTAATACTTAACTTCACATGGCAATTTTGCGAAAATAATGTTCTACTTTAAATGTAAAATTGCCATCAAAATTTCTCTCAATGAAACATTTATGGTAATGTGCTGTAGCTGTTTTTATCATTGCACATACAGGTGGATAGAGGTCGTGGGTGGTGATGATAATTTTTCAGAAGTGCACAAGCCTTTAGTGGTGGACCTAACCCTAACCCAGCTCATCTTAAAATACTAAAATACTGTGTATGTCTGTTTATGTCTCAGGTAAATGACATCAGATTTTCCCTTCCTGTGTCATTGGTTGACGGAAAAGTGCGAGTTCATCAAAATGGCATCAGCATCGTCATTGACACCGACTTTGATCTGAGGCTGACCTATGACTGTATGGCAGGCGTATTATTGCAAATCCCATCCACCTATCACAGCTTACCACGTGGTCTCTGTGGAAACTATAATGGCAAAGATTTCGATGACCTGGGATCAGCCAAAAATAAGCTGGCAGCTTGGGTAGAGCAGAGGGACAAAACAAAGTGTGAGACAGACTGTGGTGCCAGTTCTTGCCCTGATCCTGACAAAACGAAGGTCCCACAAGCCAAAAAGGCCTGTAACATCATTAAAGACAAGAAGGGTCCATTTGCAGGGTGCCATTCCACTGTGTCCCCAACTCCCAACTATGAAGCTTGTGTCAGGTCAGGACATATCTAATATTAAGTAAGATACGAGCATGTTGTCTTGTTTATGGTCTCTATTCTTAAGCCTTTTCCATTGCAAAAACCTTCTAACCCTAACCTTCCCTTCCAAGGTTCTTCCCTGTATTTAACTTTTATGTTCCGTTCGGTATATGACTAAAGTATGCAACTGTAGGACAGACAAGAATAGAAGAAGTGGCAAAGTTGTACTTATAGATTCTTTTGAGAATCCAGGTCTCTGCAAGCACTGGCAAAATCTAATCAATAGTCCAATTGGGAATTTCAGTTTATTTCAGTTTGATCTCCGTACAAATATTTCCATAAAACTACAACTATGAATTATTTCATGAAATATGTTATTATTATTTTTCAATTTGTTCCATTTTTCGATTTAAAAGAAATATTTGTTTACTCCAAAGTATATTTTTTAACCCATTAACTCCTGCTTGAAATCTGGACCAACTGTAATAACTTACTCAGTTTTACAATCAGGACTTGTTAAACAATCTTGTTTGTTTTTGTTATAAATGAATTGTAACAAAATGCAACAGGATTTTCTGTGTTACGACCATATATGGTGTTACCTGTAATAAAGCCATTTGGTTTACAGGGAGATGTCCACAAGTGAAGGAGGCATGCAGATCCTGTGTCGTCACATCCAGAGCTATGTCACTACCTGTCAACTAGCTGGCACAAAGATAAGCCAATGGAGGAAAAAAGATTTCTGTCGTAAGTCTGAACTGACTAACTGATGCTTGCTGTATTACACTGTATATTTTAGTCTTTATTTATATTTTTTAATATTTCTGTTTTACATTCCCCTGCAATTATTGCATGTATGCAAAAGTATTGCATTTGTATTTACAATTATTTGCTGATGTCTACTTTGGAGTGCCCTCTTGCTGCTGTAACATCACAAATTTCCCTTGTTGTGGGATGAATAAAGGATTATCAACTTATCTTATGTTACCTTAAGAATACGTGACAACACATTTAGCTGACCTATAGGACAGAATAAAACATTATCTCGAGGCCACCGTCTCACTGAGACTCCACCTGGGTCCAGCTCCACAGCTGTGTCATCTACACCCTGCAGACAGAACAATTCACAGTATGGTTTTAGCCCAGCTTAATTGTATACTGCTACGCTTGTCTCATATTTAAACAGACAATGTGTGAAATTCTTTCATTAGTCCAGATTCTGGGTTTTGCTCCTGATTGTGATTAAATGGGCCAAACTAAAACCAGCAAATTGTTCATTTCTAAAGACCAAAAGTCTGAAAAGTTGGTATCATCAAAAGTTGTCATTTTGGAAAGAAAACATCTATTCCTACATCTCCTGGCCTTGTTTGTCCTTGCAGCTGTGACGTGTCCATCAGGAAGTCACTATGAGCTGTGCTCTTCTTACTGCTCCTCCACCTGCTTCTCTCTGGAGCAGACAGAGCCCTGCCTAGTCTGCCAGGAGGGCTGCCAGTGTGACGAGGGCCTCATGTCTGATGGAGTCCGCTGTGTTCCTGTGGAGGAATGTGGCTGTGTAGTGGAAGGCCAATATTATGAGGTAACTATCATCATTGTCATTTACGTCACCATCATCGTTCTGCTTATTATGTGCGTGATCAAATCTGCTCTGGTTAATATTAGTCTGGACCAACATTGCTCTAGAGGTCAAAACAGCAGATGACAGTTTGATTGAAACGAAAGTTTCAAATGAAATATGTCCTGAAATAATGTATGGCAATCATTGATTTCTGCTCAAAGCTTCCAGAATCTTACTACTGATACATTGTTTGTTGTTTCTATCCTTTATCGAAATTAGAATAGAAATAGGGCACAATGATACTATGTGGAAATGGATAATGGCAATTTTACAGTATATATATATATATATACATATATATATGTGTGTGTGTGTGTGTATATACCGTATGTGTGTTCTAAAACTTAACTGACTCTTTTCAGTCAAAGACATCAGTTTTACTGGAGGACTGTTCAGAGCTCTGTTCCTGTCAGTCTGGACAATTCAGCTGTAACTCCACAAGGTGCCAAGAGGGAAAGGAGTGTCGCAACATGAATGGAACATTAAATTGCTACCCCACAGGTCATATACTGGAAAATGTTATGTTATTTAAATGTTAGCTAATACATTGTCTGCCTTTATGCAGAAATGAGTCCTGCTGCATCTTTGTACCCTGCATCTACTGCTGGGATTTCCTGTTGTTTTACTTTGTAGAGCAACTTCACGTCATGTGAAAATCTGACCTTGTGTGTGTGTGTTTTCTAGACCCCTGTGCTGTGAATAAGTGCAGGGTGAAGGAGCACTGTGAAGTGTCAGAAGGCCAAGCAATGTGTGTGCCTGATTCTAAGGCCTCATGCACGGCCTTCGGTGACCCACACTACATCACATTTGATGGATGGAGATATTCATTCCAGGGAACCTGCACCTACGTCCTCGTCAACACTACAGGTTCGTAAATACCTGCTGTGAGTCATATAATAGAATCTACAAATCAGCCCAAACTCACATTCACATATGACTAACATTAACATAAATTATTCTGACCCACTCAGGTCTCGATCCATCCCTGCCAGACGTAACTGTGACCACCAAGAACGAGCTGCATGGGAACTCTCCAGGCTCCTTTGTGCGTTTACTCACTGTGGAGATGCTGGGCCACATTATATCCATCCCAAATAATAACAAAGACAACATGCTGGTGGGTCTTGCTTCAAATTACAAATGTTGATTAAAACTGCCTCAACTATTTCACTTTTCTGAACTGTTTATGGTTCTTTCACAACAAATTTAAGATTTCCTGTTGATGGAAAATAACGACCTTTTGCTAATCCAAACTAAACATCACATTTCAGAATGGCTCACTGTCACTTCCTTCTCTTTTAAGGTGGACGGCATCAAGACAGAACTTCCTGTTCTTCTTGAAGATGGCAGAATCTCCATAATACAGTCTGGATTCAAAGGAATAATTCAGAGTGACATTGGTGTTGAAGTCACTTTTGATTGGTCCACATTTATCATGGTATCCATCAGCAGCAGTTATTATGGTAACGTTGTTGGGCTCTGTGGAAACTATAACGGCAACAAGGAGGATGAGCTGATGGGGGCCGAAGGCATGGCTGTTAATGTGACTGACTGGGCCCGGACATGGAGCGTCGCTGATGGTGACCCATTCTGTTACCATTATTGTGAAGGGGTGTGTCGTCACTGCTCTGAGAAGGACCGTGTCAGGTAATGTTGACTATTATATAAACAAAGATATTTAACCAAATACATAATGAAAATCAATGGAGGGCTGCTGTATATGAATTCCACTGGCAGTGTGTATTTCAGAACTTGTGGTTCCAGATGTAACAGAGCACACGCCTGAACAGACCCATTAACACTCAGCAGTGATGTTGTGTGCCCACATATGAAACAGGCTTCACCGAAGTTCAATCATTTTCAAAAAAATGTCTTACATTTTAGACACACAAATAGTTTTCTCCAAAATGGATCAAGTTAACAACAGCTGAATTTGAAATTCCAGGATACAGGTTATTTAGGAAAGGCAGAATAAGAGGGGAAGGTATGAAGCACCACAAGTACAATAATAAAGCAATTCATTAATTATTGAATAATTGTACAGTAAAAAAACAGGCATTGATAAACGTGTTAACAAATTCATTTATAATCTTTAAATAAATAGATTAAATTACAAAGTACATTTGAAGATTTAATGGGCAATTAAAAAAATTACGATATAATATAGAAATACAAATTTGATATCCATCCAAGGATAAACATTTCAAATTAGACTACTAATTAATACATTAATTCATAAATGAATAGAGAAACATAAAATAGAAATTTGAAAATTTAGTTTCTTTGTTCTGTCCTCTCCAGGTTTGCTGGTCCAGAGTACTGCGGCATTCTGAGCAATAAGCAGGGGCCCTTCTCTGGCTGTCACGATAAAGTGCCAGTAGCAGAGTTTGTGTCCGACTGTTTGTATGACGTCTGTGTCAGTAAAGGAGGACCTGAAGCGTTGTGTAATGCCTTGAGCAGTTACGTCACAAAGTGCGAGGAAGCTGGAGCATCCATTAAGCAGTGGAGACAACTGACCAAATGTTGTGAGTTACATATGGTAGATGTATATGGACTGAAATACTACAGACAGACAATTATTTGAATCTGAGGCTAATGACGTATGTGAATGTGTATTCCAAGGTTTATCGAGGCAGAACTCAGATTTTCAATTTCAAGACAGGTGATCTATTGGCCAATTATAGCCAAGTACTGTTCAGCAGTAACCTCCTCCACACCCCACCCCCTCCCCTCTGTCTGTTCTTCCTCACTCTTGCTGTGCCTCCAGCTGTTGAATGTCCGACCCACAGCCACTACGATGTGTGCGGTTCAGCCTGTCCAGCCAGCTGTGGTTCTCAGCCACTGGTGTGCACCAAGCAATGTGTGGAAGGCTGCGTCTGTGACCAGGGATATGTCCTTAGTGGAACGAAGTCAGTACATTTTCACCCATGTATTTAAGAGTATATTATTCGTGCAACAATTGTCTTCCTTTCACATCATTTTACTGCACTCATGTGAGCATCATTTAGTTTTCTCTCATTCTGTGAAGTTCTGCTTGTATTGCTCAAAACTTTATTTTTCAGAATGGATTTAGCAACAAATGAATGCTCAACTTTATCTTTATGAGTCAATAGCTGTGTCTCAATTCAGGGGGTGCATCATTCAGAGGGTGCGGTCTACCCGGCCCATGAAAACCACCTTCTTCGTGGACCGAGTAGACCTTATAGGCCTAACCAAAATGAGGAGGGGCTGGTCTACAGAGGATTTCTGTGAATGGCGTCATCAGCTCATCCCGTCGTTATTGCTGTTGCCTAGCAACAGAGTTGAAGTTGGACTTATCATGTTTTTTTAACATGTGTGCCCTCAGCTGCTGTGACATCTTGACAAATGTTACAGTGTGTATCTGCTGACTGGGACAGCTTATTTTTTGTCAGGTGTGTTCGCAAGGAGGAGTGTGGCTGTAACCATAAGGACAAGTACTACCTGCCAGGGACGGTGTTCTGGGCTGACTCACAGTGTGAGGAGAAATGTGTGTGTGATGCAGCAACACAAAAGGTGCAATGTAAACAGACTAAGTGTCAATCCGGGGAGAAATGCAGTGTTGTGAACGGAGTCCAAGACTGTTACCCAGTCAGCTTTGAAACTTGTACCGCGCGTGGAGATCGACACTTCGTCACCTTCGATGGACGCACTTTTGATTTCCAGGGCAACTGTGTCTTCAAGCTAGCAAGTGTGTGTGGAGAGACTAAAGGTCTGCAGCACTTTGAGGTGAGCTGAGAACAACACAGAACAGTAATGTAGCAGGTGACATTCTCCAGCCAGAAACACACATACGCCCTGTGCAAAGCATATATACACACCACATTATTGAATGGGCGTTATCATTACTAAAGGTACATTTTGCTGATATAGTTTTGTACTGTCACTACAGTGACATGTAATTCAATTTAAATGGTCTTTTTACATTTCTGCTCTGAATAATTATTGTCTCATTGCTGTTACACATGTTCAAAAACACGTTCCTGACTCAGTCAGTTACCCGAAAAACAACTAAGAATCGCATCCCAATGCCATTATCTGTTTTATGTGTCTTCACTTTCCTGTCTACTCTCCCTTCTTTCCTCCTGTTGTCCCCTCGCCTTCCTTCCACCTGTCTTCTTCTCTCCTCTTCTTTTGGGGACTTGAAGGTCAGCCTGGAGAACAACAACCGTGGCAACAAAAAAGAGCAGTATGCTAAAGTGGTGACTGTCAAAGTCTATGGTGTCACATACAGACTGGATCACTCAGGTGTACTACTGGTGAGAGACATTCACTCACACACACTCACACACAGAAACAGACTCAGTGTCCTGTTCTATGTCGCTGTTAAATCTACTCACTGACTTGGAGCATACATGGGTTAGTCAACATCCATATAATGTTCTAAAATCTACCTTTACAGCTTCACACTACAGTTTTTTGACTCATCTATCTTGTTAATCTTTTCTCAATGTTCCTATTTTCCACAGGTGGACGGGGTTAAACAGTCCTTACCATTCTCACTCAATCAATCGCTGATCCAAGTTTATCGCAGACACAGACATGCTGTCATTGAGACACGCTTTCTTAAGGTACAACACACACAGCCACAAACCCCTCACACCAGTTGGTCTTTGGTATTTTCTTGAATGAGTGTTTATTCTGAAACACCAGAACATTTAGGTACAGTACAGACATGGTTATCTATTTACGGTAAGTAATGTAATGCTGCCAATATGTTGTTGAACTTTTACACAACTTAGAAAAACCTTTTCTTTATCTCCCACATTGTCAAAGGTCTCCTTTGACTTTGCGAGTGCAGTGAGGGTGGAGCTGGCTGGCAGTTATCGCGGTTCAACTTGTGGTCTTTGCGGAAACTTCAACAATGACCCTGCTGATGACCTGATGCTGCCCAATGGGAAATTGGCTAACAACGCCAAAGAGTTTGGAGTGAGCCAATGGCTGGCCAACGTGAAAGGCTGCTCTCATGACTGTAAGCAGCAGATGCAGTTGTATTCATCTTCACTAGTGTGTGTGTGTGTGAATGAGACTTGTACTGAGTGAATGCAAAGTGAAGCTTTTACATCACATTCCCATGATTTTCACACATCTAACATGAGCACAACACAGTGATTCAGACATCTCATGGCTGCAGCATAAGACATATTGTCATTAACTATAGATTCACTTTTCCACCTTTGCTCATGTATTTGTTCAATGCTACCAAACACATACACTACAAGGAAGTGCCATGGAATTACTTTTATTGCAATCTAAAACTGAAGTTACTTACGTTTATTATTATTTATTACTTAATATAATGTGTGCAAATATGTGTCTAAGGCTTTTGATAATGGTATTGATGGTTTTCTGCCCCCAGGTAAAAACTGTGCTCCGCCCCTTCCCACTGACTTCAAACCACCTCGCTACACATCAGTCTGCAATGTGATAACAGCTAAGGATGGGCCCCTGGTGGACTGTGTAGGCCGCGTAGATTCCAAGCAGTTCCATGACGACTGCATTTATGACATGGTGCGTAGTGATGGGAAAAAGGAGTCACCATGTGACATCATCAGTGACTATGCGGAGGAGTGTCAGAGAAAAGGCGGCTCTGTGAAGCAATGGAGGAAGAAGAAGCTGTGTTGTAAGTATAGTTTGTGTGTGTGTTTATCAGGGGCATCTGGTCCTCTCTTCTCTATCGTATCAAGACTATCTCTCCATTCGTTACATATATGTGCGAGGAATGATCCCCTCCCGTCAATGGGCAGCAGGGGATCTAGCCACGTCCTATGTTTTAGCTTTAAAACACCTATGCTGCTTGTGTAATCCATTGATTGAAAGCTGACAATCATGTGGAGAGTGGGGACAGTCTCTCCTAGAAGTGGTGTTGCACTAATTTTCTCTAGTTGAGTAAAGAGTGAAAAATAAGATCTTGAGAGAGAAGTTCAAACCCTGATTACCCGACCAGTCCCTGTGTTAGTGTCATATTATCAGTTTTGGAATGTTTCAGAACTGATTAAGAATACTGGCCCTGCATAGAAAACATATAAACATTTAGAAAGATGTCTTCCTAAATGTAGTAACTATCATATTTGTATTTCTCTGTGTGTGTGTGTGTGTCAGGGATGCAGTGTCCACCCAAAAGCAAGTACAATGTCATGGCTCCTGGCTGTCCACTCAGCTGCCCCTCTCTGTCTTCTCCAAAAGAGTGTAAAGCAACACCCAGTGAGGGTTGTGTGTGTAACACTGGTTTGTTGCTCAGTCAGGTAATCCTCCACACTACCTGCCCTCCTCAACTAACATACAGCTTTATTCTTGCTCTTCTTTCTCCTCCCAATTCAATCATTCTCCCAGTTCCACTGTTTGTAGACTCAACTGTTGGCGACTGTGTCTTGTCCAAAAAGCACGATGATGTTGCAAAACTACTCTCCTTTATGGCAGCTGGGCTCTACAGTGCAAGTGTTTCACATCGATATCCAAGTCAAAATTACCTTAGTGTAGGAATATGAAAACTTGTCTGACTGACTAGGACACTCAAAATGCACAGTTACAAAACTACAATGTTAACCTGTGAAGCAGGGAATGTTTTCATGTTTGTTTGTTTGTCAGTCAGCTGGGGAAACACAAAAAGTAGTGAACCACCAAACTTGGACTCGGCCATGGGTCAGGGATGAATGAATACAAATTTGGTGTGAATCTGGACAATGTTATGATTCGGCAGCTGGCATCCTAAGCGTTTCATCACTGCCCCATAAAAATCTTTCTTAGAGAAACTCGGGCTGTAACTACGATCCACAATCACTCGTTTGTGCAACGCCACAATGTTTTCTGTGAACGTCACCGTTGTCCAAATGTTGTTTTAAGGTCATCTCACAAACATGAGGAATCGAACTCTAATGGATGAATACTAAATGTATCATTTGTGTACAAATTTGTTGAAATCCACATTTCTACAAACTACAGATGAGGCATTCAAGTGTGCTTTGTTCTCAGTGGGAGCTGAGCCATCTTGTTAGAAGTCATTACTAGTTTTTAGAAGTTAAACAGAGCAATCACACATTTTCAGTAACTACAACAGTAGTACATTCAGTTTACTACAAAGTAAAGATAATTTACAGTTGTACACTATTTAATACAATAAAATGATCAATGTAGGTTCTTTTTGGTATTCCTTGCTAGCCTGACTTGGAAAGGCTTGATTCTGAGGTGCACTTATGGCCTCAGAGCTACTGTTCACATTGAAAAACATTTATCCCAACATTTTGTTCAGTGTACATACAAATGCTCTCATGAGTATTTTCAGTCAGGAACACGTAATGTCTTGTTAATGACAACTCTGTACTTCTAGGACGGCTGTGTGCCACTCGCTAAGTGCGGCTGCCTATCCAATGGTCAGTACCTTGAATCTGGACAAGGATTCTATGAAGACTCTGACTGTGAGCGCTACTGTGAGTGTCGTGGTGGGGTGATTTCCTGTAAAAACAAACCCTGCAAAAAGAAGGAAAGATGTGGAGTGAAGAAGGGAGTGAGGAGCTGCATCAAGCGCTGATCCATTATGATGAAAAAGGACAGAACCGGCACAAACACATGTATCGTCTGAATTCCTTTTCACCAGCAATGTTCTGTTTATTGTGTATGCAATCAATTCTAATCAGATGTTCTTCTGTGGTGACTGTCCATTTGCAATTAAAGTGAAATTTAGTTTGAATCATAAATCAAAAGTAATTTACTCCAGGTTTGCTAAAGGTACCCTATGTTACACTATAATGAATACTGGGTGTTGCTGTTACTGCAAGGTAGATTAATGAGAAGTTACAAAATAAAGCAGCCTTATAGCCTGTCATATTTTAGTAGGTACACAGAGACTTTCATTTGCGTGGAACTTTTAGAAGCTGTACAGCATGATTATGTACTGACTTTATTTAAAACAGACTAAATAACTAAACACCTTTCTTCTTTTTCTCTCACATATGCAGTAAACTGTACAATGCATTTCAGTTTTGGCTAATGTGGGTTCTGTTGTGTCTGTGATTGATGCACATATCTATTTGTTGTACAATTTCACTGACATTATAATAATAATATGAATTATTTTTTATATTGCAGTTCTACAAAAGTTACAAAGCGCTTCGCAAATAAAAGCTGCACAAGTAAAAAGACAAAATAAACAAATAAAACCTATAATAAAAACAATAAGGTAAAATCAGGGAACGCAATACTATGAACACGTTTTAAACATGGATTTAAATGAACCTGCTGAAGCCTGCTGTACTTCCACAGGCAGGGTGCTCTGGTGCCTTGGAGTTCTTATTTCTAAAGCTAGTCGCTCAAAGACAGAGAAACTATATCCCGTTCACTGAACTGAGGGATGAGACGCAGACTGCTAGTCACATCAAATGATCAGCCGTTTGAATCACTTGATCCCGCGTACAGCTCTCCAGTAACTCCTCTGATGGAGCTCTCAGAATCTCCTCCAGTACATGACTGACCATCAGACCCTGTGTGCACCGGCGGCCTCTCTCATACAGCCGTGCACCGCAACACGTCGCTGCCGCGCTGTCCCGCTGCCTGCCTGACCAGAACCTGACCACAGCTCCCCCTGGTCTTCAGGTGCTAGTCGTGGTGGGTATTTACGCACTAGATCCCGCAGGCCCGGTGAAGCAACCACACTGGCGACTCCACCTGCAGCCTCGGACGTGCTCCCGAGACAACTGCTCCGGCCACTTTCACACCACACTGCCCGACCCCGGCGAACCCCAAAGGGAATCCGCCCTTCAGCCTAACCGGGACAGAGCAGCAGCAACCTACGCCCGTCACCGACAATCACCCGCAGAGAAACACGTCAGCCCACTCACCAGACCACGTGTCCCCAAAACTACGCCGCTCATTCATATAAAAAACGAGGCGCGCAGCTGACTCGGCGTGTGACGTCACGCTACACTCACACACATTACCTGATGACCGCACTCTTTGACAAAAATCGCAGTCTCCGCCCATCAAGTCATTCACAACCGCGGAACACACAAAACGTGGATCTGACGAGCCGGCCTCAAAAACACTGTGTCAAGGAGGGAGACGACGAATACTGACATTTACAGACATGTAACAAGATGGCAACCACATCGTGAGTCCAGAAACAAAGGGACGCTCTCACCGGGAGTCAGGGAGCCGACCTCGTCCCTCAGAGAGCGAGAGAGGAACACGAATGAAGTCATGCTTCTTACTGATTGTAGCCGACGTCACATCCACCTGCAGCTCAGGGAGAAGAGGAACAGGGACCCCTGGTGTCCAGGTGAGGCTGGAGGGGCTCATCACAAACCTGTCAGGACAGGGGCTGGGGCAACCACTGAGATTGATGGGTCTGCAGAAACAGTGTTGGGATTCAGGAGTGTACGTCAGCTCACACACAAAACTATACAATTGTTGGTGTTTTTTTACTCTTTTGTTTATTCTGTGTAAATTACTGTGTGGAATCAGACAAGGATGTTTTACATATTTTTTTTGCAATAAACCCCACAAGACATAAATATATGATACACAAACAGATTGACATTTTATTGAGCGGGGAGGACATAAAAACAGATCTGATTGTCAAACAAAAACTTTACAGACATGTTAGAGTATATGTCTGGTGTTACTTTATATTTTCACATCAACAGATTCAATGAAAAGAACAAAACCCGTCAAAGCATTCTCTTCCAATACTTCCTGACTTGCCTCCACACTCTTTGGTCAACTATTAGGGGAACAATGTACATTTACTTATATTTTGCCACAATAAGAGGATGACATACTGCATCCACCACCATGATACTCTCAGTCCTGTCATTGTTGGTTTTCATGGGATTTGTTTAAAATAACAATAATATAGATTATCACCTGCTGAATTGTGGACAGACAGTTTCTGTCAGAACTAAGGAAACTTGATCCATATGTCTTATGTAGATTTGATCTGACAGAGGCTCCAGCTGCTCCATCTGCAGTGTGGGCTCAGTCACTGGAGCCATCTTGAGGACTTTTAACAGCCAGCAATTGCAAAATGTTCCAACTTCCTATAGACACAGAATGCATTAGCGATAGATTTGCCTCAAACAAAAAAGACTTGATCTTGCCATGGTTCTCCAAGCCTTACACAACAAGAACATCTCCTGTCACCGTGGCAACTGCCATGTCCTCCGCTGATGCCTGTCAGGCACTTACTCTGATTGGCATCAATTTGTCACTATTTATGAACAAGGTTTTCTGTCAGTGCTATGAAAAAAAACTAAGAATTAACAACAACCCTGTTAGTTGGCATTACTGACTCTGACCACATTTTCTCCAAGCATTTGTGTTGGAGCCATGTTTTCAAGTCAAATCAGAACAGAGCTTTGTGACCTCAAAGAAAAGAAGCAGAAAAGTGGCACGTGTTGGCTGAAGTCGAGAGCCAGGACCAGGCGAAGCACAGGACGCCAGCGCAACAGTCGTCAGTGTTCCAGTATTCAGTGAGTTTCAAGGTCCTTGCTGTTCAGTTACCCAGATGGCAGGTCCCCTGCGGAGTCACTCTCATCAGAGGCCCTCTCAACATCCTGCAGACCAACCAATGACATGTCCGGCTGAACCTCTTCCTCATCAGACTGCACCAGAGGTTCATCACTCTCCTCACTGGCCACTTCCTCTTCTCGCCCCAATGCTGCATCCTGAATGGATGGTTGGTTGTCAGTGGGAGGGGCTTGGTTCATTTGGCTTCTTGAAGATTCAGAGGAGCAGGACTCGAGGTCTGGACCTGTTAGAGAAGACCGTTTCTATTATTTCATAAAGTGGCTAACATTTCAATCTAATTAACACCGGGGATAAGTCAGCTGTAACTACATTCACTTCTCCTGGGAAGGTGGTGAGATTTTGATATTAAAATCATCATCAGAAAACAATTGAAGTGTTATAACTTCAGAGTTACTGATCAAAACAACCAAGGATGTATGTGAACGAAACAAAGCTACAGGGCTAAGTTTACATTCATCAGAGGGCCAGTAACACCAAAACAAATACATGATAGTTGATCCATGTTTATAAGCTTGAACACACAGATTAGCCATCAAGTACTGCAACTAAAACACTGATGGTGTGAATCAGCCAAACGATGATGATACACTTTTAAAACACTGATAACGTGCAATCTCTTAGCAGCTTCTGTATGTCTTCAACTTTCCTGAGGCTGTAGAATAAGTAAGTTGGGGTTACCTGAGGTCAGTGATGATCCAGTACTATTGTCATCACCGCTGGAGTTTAGGAAGTCATCCAAAGCCTCCTGGTCTGACATGTTAGTTACCATCATGTGATCCAGAACACCCACATCAGGTTTGGCTGGATCTACAAATACACACATATGCATAACACACAAAATGTACTCTTTTGAAAGACATTAATAGTCTGTAGTTTTCTTCAGATAATTAAAGAAGAAGAAGTGGTCACCATTTATTTCAATTGTATTGTATTTGGCTGCAACGCTATACTCCAAATGTTTTTTGTAGACTTAAATACAGTAGATAGTGAGTGAATTTCTATTTTTGGTTGAACTATCCCTTTAAGTAACCTTTATCAATTCTCTGACAGGAACTGGAATTAACAGACTTTCAGAACACTGACACATACACATGGACGTAACAGAAATACTTAATGCATTCTTGATTTTCTGATTTATTTTCCTGAACAATATAATAATCATAATATATCATATCATAATAGAGAAGACCACATTTAAAACATTAAAAGTACATTTACCCATCTCTGACTGCAAATCTCCTCAAATCTGGAGATGTGTTCTGAAATCATCAGCTTCGTGTGAATGAAGAATTAGTGTGCAAATGGTTATTGGGTCCCTGTCACTCGGTTATACCTTACCTCTCTGCTGTATCTGTCCAGTGGACAGGTATTGCTCCATGTCTTGGTTAAAGGCTTCTTCATAGACCTTCTGTCTGTCTCGCAGTTTTTGGCGCATGGTCTGCTCTAGTTCTGCCACCTTCTGAGCATGCTCCGAATTTAGTTCCGCTAAAAAAAAAGAAGAGTCATATTTTAGAATACTCTCTGATCTCTGTAGTGATTCACATCATACTTTAAACAGTAGAAGTGTTCTGCTGCCTAACAACAGCTTTACTGTCTTTCAACATATGAGGATGAGCAGTGACCTGCTACTATCACTGACACACTAACTCAACTGGTCTAAGTTTATCCATAAGGGGGAAAACTTTCCCATGTGATGTAGGCGATCATAACTTCGTGATGGATGGAGTGTGTTCAGTGCGACAGTATTGCTACTCACCTTCCAGTGCCTCCAGCTCTCTCCTGTTTCAAGACAAACATTGGACAAGCTTCCATTACAACACAAACATTATTACACAAGATATATTTTCTGCCAATCTGTTTCTCTGACTAAACAAACGCAGTATTGTGTTCCTCTCAAGCAGACAGGAAGAAACAGATTCAGATTTTTTTTTTTTTTTTACTGTGGCAAATAAACGGGGACAAAAAGATGAAAAGACATTGAGAAAGAACTAAGCAAACACAAAATAAGACAAAAGACAAAATACAATTTGTTGCTCACATGTGCTACAGTATTTGACATTTTCAAATGATGTATTTAAAAAGATCAGCTGCACGGGGGATCAGTGGAGAATCAGCACATCTCATACCTCTTCTTTTTCTTATAAACTTCTAGTTGGTTGACATGATGTTGTTTGACCGTCTGTTGTTCACACTGACAACACAGAGTCTCCAGATAGACCAGTCTGCTCTCCATCTCCTCAAAGTCCCCTTCCAAATGAGCTGGAGACACAAACACACATTAACCTCAAACTAACACTGCAGCAAACACTGGCTCTTCATTTTGCTGATGAGATCATTTATGCTCACACAATGACTTGCTTGTTACAGTAGTTTGCGAGGTGTGGAACATGGGAAGTGTTGTTGAGATAAGGTTTAATTAACTGTAATTTAACTTCACGCACAAAGGCCTGTGTACAGTTTGCTTATAACAGTGGTTGGTTTATTCATAATCACTGTGGCTTTGGTGCATGAAATTAAATATCCCAATGAAAACATTATATAAAGAAATACAAATAACACCCAGAAACACACTGTGCAGCAAGGTCAGTGCTTGTCTGAACTAATTCTGAATTCCAAATGTTTCCATTTACAACATAACTTATAAAACTGTGTGTTTTTGTTTTGTTGTGCTGTTAGAATTGTTTCATCATAGCTGTGTGTAGACTAATTAGCTTGAAGAGGTAACTTGTTAAGAAATATTGTATATATGCTAGTGTTGTAATGAATAGCTTCATGCTTTAAATATAAAGATATTCACTTCTTTCATAAAGTAGTACCTGCATAAACAGGCAGGGCCGCTGACAGGTTTGGCTGGGCCCGGGACAAAATTCTCTCAATGGGCCCCCCCCCCCCAAAAAAAAAACCCCACACACACCTCTACTTTCTCAGTCCCTACCCTACCCTTAAATGACGGAAATTCAAAAAAATACTCATTACTCAACAAACAATTTATTTGAACATTTTAACATTAACTTTGTGTGCCATGCGCC